GCTGCCTTTGTTTCTGCAAGGCGAGCCCGGCTGGCTTTCTGGCTGGTTTTGGTTGGTTTCTGGCTGGTTTGGCTTGGCTTCTGGCTGGCTTTCTGGCTGGCTTTCTGGCTGGTTTGGCTTGGCTTCTGGCTGGCTTTCTGGCTGGTTTGGCTTGGCTTCTGGCTGGCTTTCTGGCTGGCTTTCTGGCTGGTTTGGCTTGGCTTCTGGCTGGCTTTCTGGCTGGTTTGGCTTGGCTTTCTTTTTTTCCCTGTTTTTTTAGCTCGCCTTGCCTTGCAGAAACGCAGCTGCTGGGCATTTTGCAAGCATATCTAGGGGTCATTATTTTGCAGCCACACGCCTGCGCGCAGCGTTTTAGACTTCGAATCCTTCGCAGGACGAGGTCATTTCCTGGTAGTCGTTGTCGGCTGCGCTGACGTACATTACCAAGTGAGAGGCCGTGCCCAGCCTGTACCGGCAGCCGAAGGAGTAGCGTCTCTCCGGTGTCAGGGTGTAGGTGTTCCAGGCGAAGGCGCTCAGGGTCATGGCGCAGCCCTCCAGCTGGAAGCCTCCCACCGTGAAGCTGGCCGAGGCCACGGAGCTCTAGCTATTGGAGCGCACCAGAAAATTGCCCAGCGTGGTGAGCGTGGGCTCCAGCAGCACTTCGTCTAGGGTGGCCAGCGTGACGTCGTCGGCCTCTCCGTCGAGGAACTTGTGCTTCAGCAGCAGAGCTGAGGCCGTCGCGTCTGCCTCGACCTCCGTCGTGTTGCCTGCCTCCAGGGTTGCGTCCAGGATCTGGAGGCCGTAGACGTCCACCGTTCCAGCCGTCTGGTTGGGCAGGCCCGGCGCCTGGAAGTGCGCCCGAAGTGAAGCTTTGCAACTCCGTTCGGAGGCACTGTGAATTACATCTTTGGCCGTACTCCAGGCGCCCTGCTCACCCACGAAGCTGCCGCACAGGGGGTCGTAGACGTTGTTGGCCTCGAAGTTGGAGGCCGGGTCAGGGTGTAGCCGTCCACGCTCGCTGCGCCCGCGGTGTGCGTGGCCAGGACCACGCTGCAGCCGCTGCTGGGGCGAACCGTCCAGTTTGACAGCAAGACGTCCGTGGGGCCCAGGATCTGCTCTCCTATGGCGGCCACCACCTTGTCGGCCCCTCCGTCGTCCGGAAAGCGCACGGCTATTTGCAGGGCCGAGACTGCCTCCGTGACGCCGAGCTTGCCCGCAAGGAGGCCGTCCACCTGTGCGATGGTGTAGTAGCTGAGCAGGGCAGCTGCAGTGGTCGCGGCGCGCCACCAGCGCTGAGGTGATTTGGTTGGTTGTGAAGACGTCCTGGTCCGGGCCCGTCCGGTAGGCCAGCAGCGCGCCTGCGATGGCGGCCTGCGTCTGCGTGTCCTGCGCGCTTGCCGTGCGGTAGTCTCCCAACAGGGCGTCCACTTGTGAGGAGGTGTAGTAGGCCAGCAGCGCGGCCGAGATGGCGCTGGTCGTCTCCGCGTCCTGCGCCGTGCCCGTTCGGTAGTCGACCAACAACGCGTCCACTTGTGAGGAGGTGTAGTAGGCCAGCAGCGCAGCCGCGAGGGCCGCGTCCGCCGCTGCGATGGAGTAGCAGTCGGCCGTGATGCTCAGCGTGTCGTCGCCGTTGGCCAGCGCAGCAGAGAGAGGAGCCTCCAGATGCAGGTTGCGAACGACGTTGCTTCCGCGAACGAGCTCCCAAGTAGTGAAGCCCGCCCAGGCCGGCGCGTTAACAACTCCGCCGCTGCCGGAAAGCTGCAGGGCGGCGAGCTCCGCGAGGATTGCGTGGTCTCGCTGGCTGAGAGCGCGGCGTTCGTGGCGTACGAGGCCAGCAGCATCGCGTCGGCCTTGGCCCCCTGGAGCGCCGTGATGCTGGCGTCGCGGCTAGCAAGCTGCGCTGCGACGAAGGCCTCGGTGGCGAGACCCAGCAGGGCATTTGCTATCTTGGTGTCTACCTCCAGCGGCGTGTCCAACCCGTCCACCAAGGAGAGCAGGGCGGGCAGAAGCCTGTTTTCGGCCGAAACTGAACAAATCTGGAGGCTGAGGCACCTCGCTTGCCGTCTGACTGGAAAAAACAAGCTTTTCGGGAATTCGGGAAGTTGTTCGACCCAAAACGGAGCGGTGACATCGACCGGTGACATCGGAAAAACGTTCAGCAGGATGGAGAATTTGGCTGTTTTGCAGGGTTTTCGGCCAAAAAACGAAAATTAATTGGTTACTATAAGCCTATGTTCCTTACTACTGCTGGTCAATCAACTTCAGCCAGAAACCATTGAGCTCACTCCGCTCAAAACCCTGAAGCTGAAAGAGCAGCTTTCCGCATTGCTCCGCTCCAAAAGAGTCAAGAGAAAGCTGTTGGAGCAAGTCCTGGGGCTACTCATCTGGGCTACCAGCCTCAGTCTAGAATTAAGATCTTGGCTTGCGCCTCTATATGCAGATCTGCATCTGCCGCCAGGGTGCATGATCTCAGTGCACGCACGCCTGTGGCCTGCATTCCTGTCAGCGCTAAACGCCAAAGCCGTGCTGGCCTCGCCCGTGCACGGCGTCTTTATGCCGCTCGGCTCCAAGCTTTTAGAATACCAGCAAACCCCAATACGCAGCTCCTCCGACTTGCCTCGCATCGTGCCCAGTCATAGACCAGCATGGGTGCGCGTCGCCGTGCCGAGCACACTCGCTTATCTACAGCAAGCAGGGCTAACATTGAATGGCTCTTGCAATGTTTTCAGGCAGATTTGGCATGCCCGCTGCGAAGCAAGCCAATCCTGGCATGCAAAGCAGCCGCCGATGCTTGCGCCAATGGCACCAAAGTCGGCATAGGTGGTGGTTTATATCCAGCCGCTCCGTCTCATGGTTCGCAGAAACCTGGGAGTTCCAAGAAGTTCAGCAGCAGTGGCCTTTTCTCACAAAGGAAGCCCAACGCGACATAGCGTGCTTCGAAACACTAGCCCAGCTCGCGCTCATGCGCACCGCTTGGACAGCCGAGGGACAAGCCGTGCATGGCTTGTGCATGCCTTCCGGCACGGATAATACAGCTTCAGAAGCAGGCGTGAACAAACTGTTCACTACAGCATGGCCATTGCAGATTTTTGTGCAACTAGTCGCCGCATGGGCCTATAAGCACAAATGGTCAGTGCTAGCCTCGCATATCCCAGGCGAACACAACGTGTGGGCTGATCAGCTCAGCCGCGGCAACACATCCGCTTTCGACAGCAAGCCGCAAGCTCGCTTTCGTTTTCGCCCGCATGATTTCTGGCCCCACCAATGCAGGCTGTCGCTGCATCCGCCCGACGTCCCATGGCGGCCAGAGCATGTCAGCGCTTCGCAAACGCTCTGAAGAGGGGGTGATGTGATATTTTTAGGCCGTTTGAATGGAACCCTGAAGTGGGGGCATTTGAGGAGGCTCCGCAGAGGCGGGGAAAGGACGCGCGCTGTCTTTCCCCCTGCGCTCCCGAGAAGCAACGCCTTATAAAGGAAAAAGAGCATGCGCACATGTTTGTCGGTCGCACCCTTGTATCTTTGGCTGCATGTTCCCTTTCGGATTAAAGCAGTGATCAAGATTCTAACCCGTGTGTTGTATTCCCCGGGTATGCGAAGCCAACACCGACCCGTTTTGCTTATGCGCCCATGCAGCTACTAGCTGCACGAAAGAAACTGCAGTGGCCATGTAAACCCTGGTGTTGTCAAGTGAGGCTGTCTTGGACTTGCATTTTTTTCCCCTGATGTGTGCTGCTATCGCTGCGAAAAAGGCAACGATGAGTGCCAGTTGCTCGTGCGAGTGGGCGACGCAGCGCCTGCAATAGGTCGCCCACAACAATCCATGCTCTACGCGGGTTGTTCGCCTTATACCACCCAATTAATTTCCGTTTTTGGCCCGAAAAAGCTGCCAAAACAGCCCTTTTTCCTCAAAAAAAAAAGAGGTAGGGGTGACAAAGACGTCACCCCTTTGTCACCCCTACCGGTTGGGTGGAAAAAGTGCACAAAACGGCAAATTTCCTGAATTCCTGAAAACCTCGTTTTTTTCGGTTAGAAAGTAGTAAGGGGCATAGGCCTATCGATTTTTGTGTTTTTTGCCAAAAACAGGGTCCTGACACGTACGCAACGAAAGCCCGGCTAGGCAACGGCCAGCGAGCCGGAAACAGAAACTTGAGATGGCCAGGAAGAGAGGATCAAGACGATCTGCGTCACATAAGCGCCCTTCTTTACACCAAACGATGCCCGCGCTAGAAAGGTGCGGCTGACGCAGTGTGCCAAACATTTTGGTGGGTGACAGCATGAGAGCCAATTTCAGTCATACTCGCTGCAAACGCGTTTGATCACATGGCATTGCAGGCCCTGAGCTGTAGGAAAAACAAGTAGCCGCTGCGCCACACTCTTGACTTGTGCCGTTGCGGATGGCTGATTGCAAACATTCTGACAGGCTTGGTCCGTGAGCTTATTTTGTTTCATCCTACATTTTTAAGCACGCCTTGCACATTCGCAACATTTGTTTAGTTGTCGCGACCTATGTGAACCTTGTGAACAATACGGGGACAAATGGATTGTAGATCAAACTTTCTCGCCTTTTGATATCGGAACTCAAACATGGGGAGGGCGTTTCTTTGAATGTTGTTAGTTTGTTTCTTGTTTCGTTTGCACTCTTCTGCGGACGTGGTTGCTGCTACTGTGGGTTTTTCGGAGGCAGTCGATTTTGGCAAATCAAGTGACAAACAACACAATTACGGCGTGGATCCTTGGGGTGATATCGTTTTGGGCTCTCATGCCGTTTTTTGTTGCAGGTGCCGTCAGCATTTTTGTGGGCTTGACCTGGGCACCTAGAAAACTGGAGAGAATCATGCAAAAGGCTGGTAAGCAAGGTAATCTATCCGCGTGATGCCTTCATCTTAGGGACTCCTGTGTGGGTGCTTTGAGGCTCGGTATCCTTTTTGGGGTAAAGGAACCAATCAGTTTGGAGGTTCTGCATGCTTGTGACGAGCATGTACCTTGTGAGGTTTTGAGAAACATCCTCCGAACATTTTTCGGCTCAGAGAAGCGGGCTGCCGTGTACAGACTGTAAACTACGCTTGCCTTTGCGCTTCTCCAATTTGTTTAACTTTTTGTAAACGAAACTTGGCCTGAGAGTGAAGTTGGGGACCAGTGTTTCAACATGAAGAAGGGGTGTGTGCCCAATTTTCTCAATGTACATGTGTATGCGTAGAAACAGTCTATATATATATATATAGAGAGAGAGAGTTGCGAGAGTGAAGCAGCATTGCTCGGAGCATTTTGAGTTCGCATGTGTTTTGGTAGCTTGCAAAGTTCAACGTACCTTGTCTGAGGATGGCCTCCTCATCCCGAGCCACTGTTGCCGCCGCTGCAGGCGCTTACTGATGGCAGGATTTTGCTGATACAGATGGAGGCCAATGGGTTTATCACCCCCCCCCAGAAGGGAAGATTCCCCTCTAAGATGCATTGCACCCTTTCTATCAATCAACCAGGTGTTTATTCATCCTGGCTTCCCATTAGCGGACACTTGTGTTTTGCCAACGGCCCAGTGAGTGATGGCACTTCTCTTTTATATTTGTGCAGCGCACATGGTTAGGCTTTTCTCTTGCTGCCAACCTAGTCACATTTGCCTTTTTGATCTGCGAGAGGCATTGCGGAAAATCGGATTGTCTACGAGACCAAGGGTGTTGTCTTTGAAGTAATGAAGGAGTCATTCTCAGGTTCGGTGTCAGAAGCGGCAAGCATTTTTCACAACCATGTCCTCATACACCACCCTCACATACAATCTCTTCCAATCTCGCCACTCACCCAAGCACACGTTGTGGTCGATGTAGTCTTGGCGGGGTCCTTGAAAGGGTGTGATATCTCTGCGAGGTCTTACCCTTCTGGGCGGAGCCGCGTTTGTGTCTGCACCTACTGGACGTGCCGGAAACCTGCGAGCAGCGGTCCCAGAGGGGGGGGGGTTGGGGTGGGTTGACGTCAAGAGCTGCTGTCAGAGATAACTCCCCCTGTACATGATGTCCACCAAAAGTATCCCAAATGGACAGTCATACCAGACAAACCCAATGGCACCTTTTGAAGCGTCAGGGGTTGCAACACATTCTTTTTTTGGTCAAAAATAGAGAGCCTTTCTGGAGTAGTGTGGGCCTTGTGAAATGGGGGCAGGATGGTGCCATTTTGACAAATCCGCCCAGATGGTGCCTCTTTTTCCGTGGACGAGCTTTGACAGTGATGGACAACAACAGATTGTTACTGTCGTTGCGTTGATTGACTCAGTGTTTCCTCAGTTTGATTGATTTCGCAGCTGGTTTTGATTGCAGCCTTGGTGTCAGCAAAAGGAAGCCATTCGCAATTGCTTACATGTTTGCTTTGGACTGCGCTATTTCCTGTCCATGAGCAGAGTCTGAGGCAACCGTCTCCGCAGCAACTCCAGCCTTTGCTCCTGTGTCTGGACCGGAGGCGCCATGCAACGACAGCAAAGGTTAAGGGATGCGCCTTGTGTGAAGAGACTCGGTTTTGCCGCTTGCAGCCTGTGCCTGTGCTCAAGACTGCTGAGCTTAGTTTTTCGTTGTTTCAGCGAGACGCAAGGCTGCTGTTTGGGGTGGTGTGAACATCGGCCAATTCACACTGGGCTTCCCGTAAGCGGGGCAATGATTTAACATGGGAAAAACGGGAATTCGGGGATGTGAGAAGACTTGAGCGGAAATTGACGAGGCGAGCAGCGTCGCCAGTATGGCAGTTGCAAGCGCAGCTGTTGCCACCTGTTTTGCCAGCCGCAAGGCGCTGCGCTCAGAGGGGAGCCAATCGAGAGTCAAGCAACAGCTGAGTTGTTGTCAGTGACTTGTCAGTCTTCCTTTTCGGAGCATGTTTAGTCATCGTCATTTTTTCAGCTTGGCATTCAATGACTAAGCTTTCGTTGTTTGGACGCTTGGAAGTGAGGAAGATAGCCATATACAGGACTTGATTACAGCTCGAGACAGTCAAACAACCATAACTTAATTTCCACAGGTACCGACTTCTTGTGCACAGTTTCTGAGGTGCCATGTTCATTTCATGCTGTGACGCGCAGATATGTTTTCAACATTTGCACGGCGTTATGCGAAATGCTGAATCATCATCGAAACACATATGCACACACACACACACTCGTGCAAACACATCGGCAAATGCATACGCAAGTATGATGCTATGCCCTGCCATGCCATATTATCAATGACATGCCACCTCACGTCATGTCATGTTATGTCCTGTCATGCAGTATTTTGCTTTGGTTTTGGTTGACCGGGTTGTAGCAGTTAGCTTGCAGCGCCTGTGCAAGTGACTAGCCAGCCGCATCATAATTGTTTTGTTGCCAACAACAATCATAGGGCATCATGTGGAATGCGGAAGCCTTTACAAACGTGCCCCTTCAGAGTAGGCACTGATGAGTGATTGCTGTTACTTGATCGGGAATTACAAGCCACGTTGAAAATGGCAGCGTCCAAGGCCGCTGCAAATGCCAAGCATCAGCTGGTGCGCTCCTGAGATCAGCCTGGGAGAAAGCACATCTAGCAGGTGAGCATGCTGACCGATTCAGGTGGCCTTGAGTGCCTTTGAGAATGAGCTCGGCGTCCAGGTGCCAGCGGGATTTGGCCAATCAAGCCGTTTGTATTGTTGGCATGTTCAAGTTAGATGGGTTCAAGAAGGACATGACTGGAAACTCTGCTCAGACGGCCTGATTGCTTGAATGCCAGCATCACATCATTGCATGACAAAACTTGAACACCCCCTTTTAGGCATGCTGGCACGATGTGATCACATGACGTGACATGCTTGCAAGTATTCATTATGCTCATTATGCTATTATGTGATGAGTTGGCCAAGACTAGAAAGACGTGTATCAACAGACAAACTAAGTAGCTGAATGCAACCATGTTGTTGCAGGCACCAGTTGGATTTTGGGATCCCGCTGGCTTTGCGGCGGATGGCAGCACCGAGAACTTTGCCCGCAGGCGCCAGACGGAGTTGAAGCATGGCCGAATTTCCATGCTGGCTACTTGGTCAACATGCGGTAACATCTTTAATTTGTTTTTTCTTGTCAACATGGTCATCATTGGAACTTCCTTACATTATATGTATACCTTGATCTCGTGGGTTTGAGTTTGAACAGTGTCCAAGGCTACAATGGGATACATTACCCCCGAGATCACCGGAAAATTCCCGGGCTATCTGAGCCCTTCCGCTGGTCTGAAGTTCGCCGACGTGCCCAATGGCCTGGCTGCGATTTCCAAAGTTCCTGCTGCTGGGTGGGGTCAGATCTTGGCTTACATGGCCTTCTGTGAGGTGTCCCAGGACCAGTCGGCGGGAACTCCTGCTGCGGCGGGTGACTTCGGATTCAAGGTGCTCACCGCGTCCGACCCGGAGGCAAAGAAGACGAAGCTAGCGGCCGAGTTGGCCAACGGAAGACTGGCGATGATGGCCATCATCGGTATGTTTTTCCAGGCCGTTGAGTGATGACATAAAGTTGGTGAGACATGCGAAGTCTGACATTTGGTAGACATGTCTACTCAAGCCGCTGTGCATTTGGCATTGTTATTTCTCATCAGCCTTTACCGGCGTGCTTAGCAACAACGACAGCATTTACACTCGTGCAGACTAATCCTTATGTGTTTGTGTTTGTTTCGCCTTTTCTGTGTTTCGTTATGAACACATATATATATATATATAGATATGTATGTGTGTATGTATGTTTGTTTGTTCGGTTGGTTGTTTGCTTGCGTGCTCACTGTGATGATTGCTTACCGGGTTTGTTTTGTTTGCGATTATTTGTCCGTCTATTTGTTTGCTTTATTTGTTCGTTTGTTTGCGCTTGGTTGCTTGCTTTGATTCCCTTGTTTGTCTGTTTGTTGGTCTGTTTGCTTGTTTGTTTGTTTATTTGTGTTTGGCTGCTCATTTGGTTAGTTTGTTTGTCTGTCTGTCTGTTTGTTTGTTTGCTTTCGTTTTGTTGCCTGTTTTGATTTGTTTGTTTCTTTGCTTGGTTGTGTATTTGTTGTTCAATGGCTTGTTTACTTGTTTGACGTTTGCTAGTTTTGCTTGCCTTGTTTGTCTATCTGTTTTGCTTGTTTGTTTGTTTTTCTGTCGGTCTGGTAGTTTGTTTGTTTGCTTGTTTGCTACTTGTCTGTGATTTGATTGAGTTGTTCGGTTTTTTGTTTTGCTTGCTGTTTTGGTAACATCCGGTTGTGTTGCTTGCACTACTGTATTACTTGCTTGTTTTTCGGTATGTCTTGCAAGAAGAGGTTCTTGTGCAGCATGCAGGATGGTCTCACCGGCAGCGCTTGGGGTGACTGGGCCAACTACACCGCTTCGCCTTTGCGTGCCTTCGAAAACGAGCTTGGAGTGCAAGCACCGGTGGGGTTCTGGGACCCGGCAGGGTTCACGGCCGATGGCAGCACTGAGAACTTCGCCCGACGTCGCCAGACGGAGCTGAAGCATGGTCGCATCTCCATGCTTGCCGCTCGATCGAGGTTCAGTAACATCTTGTTTTTCTCCTTGTACTATCATGATGGCGTCCGAACATGTTTACACTAATTATCCAGCTTTGGGTTTGAACATTGACCAAGGCTACAATGGGATACATTACCCCCGAGATCACCGGAAAACTCCCGGGCTATCTGAGCCCTTCAGCTGGTCTGAAGTTCGCTGACGTGCCCAATGGCCTGGCTGCGATTTCCAAAGTTCCTGCTGCTGGGTGGGGTCAGATTTTGGCTTACATGGCCTTCTGCGAGGTGTCCCAGGACCAGTCGGCGGGAACTCCTGCTGCGGCGGGTGACTTCGGATTCAAGGTGCTCACCGCGTCCGACCCGGAGGCGAAGAAGACGAAGCTAGCGGCCGAGTTGGCGAACGGAAGACTGGCAATGATGGCCATCATCGGTATGTTTTTCCAGGCCTTAGAAATGCGGGCGCGTCCATTGTTTTTGTTTTTTGCTTTAGTGGCGGGTCGTCACCAGAACATTCTGTGAGTAGCAAACAACAAAGACCTATTCTATGTGTTTTGGGACGTTGGTAACGCAGGATTTGCTGCATGTTGTAATGTGTTTCCGCTGTTTCATGTTATTTGTGCAGTTGTCACCTCCATCTTTATGCTGTTACACCTGTTTAACGGACAGGAACAAGTTAAATGGTTACGCACACCTGTTTCGCGGACGGACACAGAATGTCTCTTGTTGTGTTGTTCCCCCGAATACATAGTCTACGCGTCAAGGTTCAAACCAGACAATATTCTAAGATTGTAATATCAACAGAGCCGCGGCGGACATTCGTGACATACCTGGTTACATACTCCATATATCAAGACCTGCTGGCTCGCATGACAAAAGCACCTGGCTTGCATGAACTCTCCTTGCATACTTTTTTCTCAACCCCAGCTTGGGTCCAGCGAAGCCCTTATCGCCACCACCCGGCTTGCGCTGAGTTGTCACTTTCGAGCTGGAGCTGAGGTGCGCTTTACCGTACTTGTACTGAAGAGCTGCGGCTTTCAAGCCGGCGCCGCGGAAGTGTAAAGCACTGTTTCCCCGTTTGGTAACAACATTTGGGTCCTCTTTGTGCGTTTGGGCATGAAACAAAGTCATATACGCATCTACCGCAGTTTACATCCAAGTTGCCAGGGTGTCGTTGTTGGCGGTTCGCCTGTAAGATGCAGGAGATCAACCATAGCAAAGAGAACAGACAAGTGATCCAACAAACTGCACGACCAATGTTTTCTATTCTAATTGTGTGCGCAGGGAGCCCTACATTTGTGTGTGTCTTAAAATAGGGGACCCCCACAATTGTAGTGTTCCTTTCGGTTGCTCCTTAAAACCAACCAAGAGGGGTTCCCTAAAAAAGAATTTTCATGCAAAGTAGTTTGGAGGATGTCACTTTAATGCCAAAGACTTTATCGAGAGAGTCACGTGCCGCGACCGCGGGTCCTCAATGCACGTTGAAGCTATGCACGGCTTGACCTTGCGAAAGGTGTCACACATCAAGCCGCACAGCTGGTTGCAGAGAAACCCGATAGGTGGCAGGCAACACTTCAAGCCAAAGTTTTTCTTTGGGAGAAGCGAGCCTCCATTTCAAAGTTTCCTTTTGGTTTGCTTGCAGTACTTTCTTGTTTTCGGTATGCCTTGCATGTACCGATTCTTGTGCAGCATGCAGGATGGCCTCACCGGCAGCGCTTGGGGTGACTGGGCCAACTACACCGCTTCGCCTTTGCGTGCCTTCGAAAACGAGCTTGGAGTGCAAGCACCGGTGGGGTTCTGGGACCCGGCAGGGTTCACGGCCGATGGCAGCACTGAGAACTTCGCCCGACGTCGCCAGACGGAGCTGAAGCATGGTCGCATCTCCATGCTTGCCGCTCGATCGAGGTTCAGTAATATCTTGCATCTTTCTGCCTTGTACTAGTGTGATGGCGTCCAAACATGTTTACAGGTGGTATCCAGCTTTGGGTTTGAACATGGACCAAGGCTACAATGGGATACATTACCCCCGAGATCACCGGAAAACTCCCGGGCTATCTGAGCCCTTCCGCTGGTCTGAAGTTCGCCGACGTGCCCAATGGCCTGGCTGCGATTTCCAAAGTTCCTGCTGCTGGGTGGGGTCAGATCTTGGCTTACATGGCCTTCTGCGAGGTGTCCCAGGACCAGTCGGCGGGAACTCCTGCTGCGGCGGGTGACTTCGGATTCAAGGTGCTCACCGCGTCCGACCCGGAGGCGAAGAAGACGAAGCTAGCGGCCGAGTTGGCCAACGGAAGACTGGCAATGATGGCCATTATCGGCATGTTTTTCCAGGCCGTTGAGTGATGACAGAAAGTTGGAGAGACATGCGAAGTCTGACATTTGGTAGACATGTCTACGCAAGCCACTGTGCGTTTGGCATTGCTTTTTTCGCATTGGCCCATGTATTGATGTGCTTAGCAACAACATTAGCATTCACACTGGTGCAGACTAGGCTTTGTGGGTTTGTGTTTGTTTTGCTGCTTTGTTGTTGTGTATTGTTCAGTTTTGGTTTTATGCATGTATGGTTTTTAGTTAGTTAGTTTGTTAGCTTCGTTGTTAGTTTTGTAAGTTAGTTAGTTGGTTGGTTAGTTGGTTGGTTGGTTGGTTGGTTGGTTGGTTGGTTGGTTGGTTGGTTGGTTGGTTAGTTTTTATTTAGTTAGTTAGTTAGTGAGTCAATTAGTTAATTAGTTAGTTAGTTGGCTAATTAGTTTGTCTGTCTGTCTGTCTGTCTGTCTGTCTGTCTGTCTGTCTGTCTGTCTGTCTGTCTGTCTGTCTGTCTGTCTGTCTGTCTGTCTGTCTGTCTGTCTGTCTGTCTGTCTGTGTGTGAGTGCATGCTTGCGTGCTTGTTTGCTTGCCTTTTTCTTGTTTGCATGTTTGCTTTATCATTTGTTTGTTTGTTTGTTTGCTTGCTTGCTTGTTTGTTTTGTTGTTTGTTTGTCTGTTTGTCTGTTTGTTTGTTTGTGCTTTGTTGCACGTTTTGACTTGTTGATCTATCTGTCTGTTTGCTTGTTTTCTTTTTCTTTTTGTGCTTGCTTTGTTTGCCCGTCTGCCTGTTTGTTAGTTGCGCGTCTGTTTGTTTGTTTGTTTGTTTGCTTGTCTGTCTGTTCATCTGTTTGTCTGTTTGTCTGTCTGTTTGTTTGTTTGTTTGCTTGCTTGCTTGCTTGCTTGCTTTTGCTACTTGTCTGTGATTGGGTTGTTCGGTCCTTGGTTTGCTTGCTGGTTTGGTTCCATCCGGGTGTGTTATCTTGGCAGAGAATCTGTTGGCTTGCTTGCAGTATTACTTGCTCGTTTTTCGGCATGTCTTGCAAGAAGAGGTTCTTGTGCAGCATGCAGGATGGTCTCACCGGCAGCGCTTGGGGTGACTGGGCCAACTACACCGCTTCGCCTTTGCGTGCCTTTGAAAACGAGCTTGGAGTGCAAGCACCGGTGGGGTTCTGGGACCCGGCAGGGTTCACGGCCGATGGCAGCACTGAGAACTTCGCCCGACGTCGCCAGACGGAGCTGAAGCATGGTCGCATCTCCATGCTTGCCGCCGATCGAGGTTCAGTAATATCTTATTTTGCCTTGTACTATCATGATGGCGTCCGAACATGTTTACAGATCCAGCTTTGGGTTTGAACATGCCAAGGCTACAATGGGATACATTACCCCCGAGATCACCGGAAAACTCCCGGGCTATCTGAGCCCTTCCGCTGGTCTGAAGTTCGCCGACGTGCCCAATGGCCTGGCTGCGATTTCCAAAGTTCCTGCTGCTGGGTGGGGTCAGATCTTGGCTTACATGGCCTTCTGCGAGGTGTCCCAGGACCAGTCGGCGGGAACTCCTGCTGCGGCGGGTGACTTCGGATTCAAGGTGCTCACCGCGTCCGACCCGGAGGCGAAGAAGACGAAGCTAGCGGCCGAGTTGGCCAACGGAAGACTGGCAATGATGGCCATTATCGGCATGTTTTTCCAGGCCGTTCCATTGAGTGACCAGAACATTCTGTGAGTAGCAGACCTAATGTGTGGACGAGCACATGCCGCTGTTTCATGTTATTTGTGCAGTGTCACATTTGGTTACACCTGACGGATGTCTACACCTGCGGACGGAGTCTCACATGCGTCAAGCGTATTCTAAGATTGCATTTCGTTTACCTGGTTACGCAAGACCTTGGCCCATGTTGGGTCCATTATCGCCATTGCGCTGAGTTGTCACTTTCGAGCTGGAGCTGAGGTGCGCTTTACCGTACTTGTACTGAAGAGCTGCGGCTTTCAAGCAAGTGTAAAGCACACTGGGTCCTCTTTGTGCGTTTGGGCATGAAACAAAGTCATATACGCATCTACCGCAGTTTACATCCAAGTTGCCAGGGTGTCGTTGTTGGCGGTTCGCTTGTAATATTCAGCAACCATAGCTTGATGTGTGTTGTACATTTGTGTGTCTTATTTGTAGTCAGAGGGGTTTTTCATGGTAGTTTGGATGCATGCCAAAGACTTTATCGAGAGAGTCACGTGCCGCGACCGCGGGTCCTCAATGCAGTTAGTTTGAGTTTGTGTCAGCCGCACAGCTTTGCAGTTAGGTTAAGTTTTGTAAAAGTTTCCTTTTGGTTTGCTTGCAGTACTATGCCTTGGTTTCTTGTGTGCAGGATAGGCAGCGCTTGGGGTGACTGGGCCAACTTGCCTTTGTTCGGAGCTTGGAGTGCAAGCACCGGTGGGGTTCTGGGACCCGGCAGGGTTCACGGCCGATGGCAGCACTGAGAACTTCGCCCGACGTCGCCAGACGGAGCTGAAGCATGGTCGCATCTCCATGCTTGCCGCTCGATCGAGGTTCAGTAATATCTTGCATCTTTCTGCCTTGTACTAGTGTGATGGCGTCCAAACATGTTTACAGGTGGTATCCAGCTTTGGGTTTGAACATGGGCCAAGGCTACAATGGGATACATTACCCCCGAGATCACCGGAAAACTCCCGGGCTATCTGAGCCCTTCCGCTGGTCTGAAGTTCGCCGACGTGCCCAATTAGTTAGATCTTGGCTTACATGGCCTTCTGCGAGGTGTCCCAGGACCAGTCGGCGGGAACTCCTGCTGCGGCGGGTGACTTCGGATTCAAGGTGCTCACCGCGTCCGACCCGGAGGCGAAGAAGACGAAGCTAGCGGCCGAGTTGGCCAACGGAAGACTGGCAATGATGGCCATTATCGGCATGTTTTTCCAGGCCGTTGAGTGATGACAGAAAGTTGGAGAGACATGCGAAGTCTGACATTTGGTAGACATGTCTACGCAAGCCACTGTGCGTTTGGCATTGTTTTTTCGCATTGGCCCATGTATTGATGTGCTTAGCAACAACATTAGCATTCACACTGGTGCAGACTAGGCTTTGTGGGTTTGTGTTTGTTTTGCTGCTTTGTTGTTGTGTATTGTTCAGTTTTGGTTTTATGCATGTATGGTTTTTAGTTAGTTAGTTTGTTAGTTTCGTTGTTAGTTTTGTAAGTTAGTTAGTTGGTTGGTTAGTTGGTTGGTTGGTTGGTTGGTTGGTTGGTTGGTTGGTTGGTTGGTTGGTTGGTTGGTTGGTTGGTTAGTTATTTATTTAGTTAGTTAGTTAGTGAGTCAATTAGTTAATTAGTTAGTTAGTTGGCTAATTAGTTTGTCTGTCTGTCTGTCTGTCTGTCTGTCTGTCTGTCTGTCTGTCTGTCTGTCTGTCTGTCTGTCTGTCTGTCTGTCTGTCTGTCTGTCTGTCTGTCTGTCTGTCTGTCTGTCTGTCTGTCTGTCTGTCTGTCTGTCTGTCTGTCTGTCTGTCTGTCTGTCTGTCTGTCTGTCTGTCTGTCTGTCTGTCTGTCTGTCTGTCTGTCTGTCTGTCTGTCTGTCTGTCTGTCTGTCTGTCTGTCTGTCTGTCTGTCTGTCTGTTGTCTGTTGTTGTTGTTTGTGTGTTTGAGTGCATGCTTGCGTGCTTGTTTGCTTGCCTTTTTCTTGTTTGCATGTTTGCTTTATCATTTGTTTGTTTGTTTGTTTGTTTGCTTGCTTGCTTGTTTGTTTGCTTATTTGTTTGTCTGTTTGTTTGTCTGTTTGTCTGTTTGTTTGTTTGTGCTTTGTTGCACGTTTTGACTTGTTGATCTATCTGTCTGTTTGCTTGTTTTCTTTTTCTTTTTGTGCTTGCTTTGTTTGCCCGTCTGCCTGTTTGTTAGTTGCGCGTCTGTTTGTTTGTTTGTTTGTTTGCTTGTCTGTCTGTTTATCTGTTTGTCTGTTTGTCTGTCTGTTTGTTTGTTTGTTTGTTTGCTTGCTTGCTTGCTTGCTTGTTTGCTACTTGTCTGTGATTGGGTTGTTCGGTCCTTGGTTTGCTTGCTGGTTTGGTTCCATCCGGGTGTGTTATCTTGGCAGAGAATCTGTTGGCTTGCTTGCAGTATTACTTGCTCGTTTTTTCGGCATGTCTTGCAAGAAGAGGTTCTTGTGCAGCATGCAGGATGGTCTCACCGGCAGCGCTTGGGGTGACTGGGCCAACTACACCGCTTCGCCTTTGCGTGCCTTTGAAAACGAGCTTGGAGTGCAAGCACCAGTGGGGTTCTGGGACCCGGCAGGGTTCACGGCCGATGGCAGCACTGAGAACTTCGCCCGACGTCGCCAGACGGAGCTGAAGCATGGTCGCATCTCCATGCTTGCCGCTCGATCGAGGTTCAGTAATATCTTGCATCTTTCTGCCTTGTACTAGTGTGATGGCGTCCAAACATGTTTACAGGTGGTATCCAGCTTTGGGTTTGAACATGGACCAAGGCTACAATGGGATACATTACCCCCGAGATCACCGGAAAACTCCCGGGCTATCTGAGCCCTTCCGCTGGTCTGAAGTTCGCCGACGTGCCCAATGGCCTGGCTGCGATTTCCAAAGTTCCTGCTGCTGGGTGGGGTCAGATCTTGGCTTACATGGCCTTCTGCGAGGTGTCCCAGGACCAGTCGGCGGGAACTCCTGCTGCGGCGGGTGACTTCGGATTCAAGGTGCTCACCGCGTCCGACCCGGAGGCGAAGAAGACGAAGCTAGCGGCCGAGTTGGCCAACGGAAGACTGGCGATGATGGCCATCATCGGTATGTTTTTCCAGGCCGTTGAGTGATGACAGAAAGTTGGAGAGGCATGCGAAGTCTGACATTTGGTACATGTCTACGCAAGCCACTGTGCGTTTGGCATTGTTATTTCTCATCAGCCTTTACCGGCGTGCTTAGCAACAACGACAGCATTTACACTCGTGCAGACTAATCCTTATGTGTTTGTGTTTGTTTCGCCTTTTCTGTGTTTCGTTATGAACATATATATATATATAGATATGTATGTGTGTATGTATGTTTGTTTGTTCGGTTGGTTGTTTGCTTGCGTGCTCACTGTGATGATTGCTTGCCGGGTTTGTTTTGTTTGCGATTATTTGACTTGTCCGTCTATTTGTTTGCCTTATTTGTTCGTTTGTTTGCGTTTGGTTGCTCGCTTTGATTTTTTTGTTTGTCTGTTTGTTTGTTTGTCTGCCTGTTTATTTGTGTTTGGCTGCTCATTTGGTTAGTTTGTTTGTCTGTCTGTCTGTTTGTTTGTTTGCTTTCGTTTTGTTGCCTGTTTTGATTTGTTTGTTTCTCTGCTTGGTTGTTTATTTGTTGTTCAATGGCTTGTTTACTTGTTTGATGTTTGCTAGTTTTGATTGCCTTGTTTGTCTTTCTGTTTTGCTTGTTTGTTTGACTTTCTGTCGGTCTGGTAGTTTGTTTGCTTATTTGCTACTCGGTTGTGTTGCTCACTACAGTATTACTTGCTCGTTTTTCGGCATGTCTTGCAAGAAGAGGTTCTTGTGCAGCATGCAGGATGGTCTCACCGGCAGCGCTTGGGGTGACTGGGCCAACTACACCGCTTCGCCTTTGCGTGCCTTTGAAAACGAGCTTGGAGTGCAAGCACCAGTGGGGTTCTGGGACCCGGCAGGGTTCACGGCCGATGGCAGCACTGAAAACTTCGCCCGACGTCGCCAGACGGAGCTGAAGCATGGTCGCATCTCCATGCTTGCCGCTCGATCGAGGTTCAGTAATATCTTGCATCTTTCTGCCTTGTACTAGTGTGATGGCGTCCAAACATGTTTACAGGTGGTATCCAGCTTTGGGATTGAACATGGACCAAGGCTACAATGGGATACATTACCCCCGAGATCACCGGAAAACTCCCGGGCTATCTGAGCCCTTCCGCTGGTCTGAAGTTCGCCGACGTGCCCAATGGCCTGGCTGCGATTTCGAAAGTGCCTGCCGCTGGGTGGGGTCAGATTTTGGCTTACATGGCCTTCTGCGAGGTGTCCCAGGACCAGTCGGCGGGAACTCCTGCTGCGGCGGGCGACTTCGGATTCAAGGTGCTGACTGCCTCTGATCCGGAGGCAAAGAAGACGAAGCTAGCGGCCGAGTTGGCCAACGGAAGACTGGCAATGATGGCCATCATCGGCATGTTTTTCCAGGACCCACGGATGCAGAGAGTACGCGTGATTCTTTTTTCTGGGTACACTTAGAGTATGCGGACGCGTTCCATTGGTTTCCATTGTATTTTTTTTTTGCAGTGCCGGGTCCGGCAAATCTGACGCGCGCACTTTGAACATGCTGAGAGAAACAACGTCAATACCCATATTCTACTTTTATTGCTGCTTTTGTCAATGCAGGATTGGAGGTATTTTGTCGCGTGCTCACGCAGCTTTTTGTTTTGTGCAGCAGCCACATCGTTGTTGTATGAGGTTACACCTCTTCAGCAATCAGTAATGTTTGGCGGACGGACACATCTTCAGAGAACGGTTCAGGCAAACCAGATAGAATATTGTGAGGCATAAATTTTTCAAGAGCCAGACAAAGTGTCAAAGGCAAAGTTTGACATAAGAACCTAATCCCCCCCCTCCTCCCCCCAAAATAAATACAATAGACAGGTTCTTAGAAGATTCCTTCCGAACCTTGCCTGTTTGGAGGCCCAGAAGGCTTTCCTGGATGCGCAACTTTGGGAGCGGTGCTCTTGCCTGTTCTTGTGGGGGCAACGTTTTGTGGGACGGACAAACCAGATAGCAAGGCACTGACCATGATTCGTGCCATGGTGAAGGGATTCTCTCGATAAGTGCTGCGCGTGTTCCGATTGGGGGAACCATGGCCCACATGAGGCGCTTTGACCATGGCACTGTATTGGATGCCAGTAAAGGACATGCCCAAGCAGGCATAAGCGCTTACCATTGCAGTTCCTTTGTACGAGCAACAGTCATGGTTTTTTGAGGGTGCCAGGGTGCCCTTTTCAGGCTGGTTGAAGGGAAAACACATTTTGGAGTCCGCCTATTTGACACATACTGTAGTAACAGGGGTGACATGGGGCACGCTGGGCGTGCTCACCAAATTGCCATTGGGAAATAGGCGCTGCTCACCAAAAAGTCAATGTCAGTTGATTATTCACGGCGGTAGGCCGTTGTCAATGGAGCCTTGATCCTTGGCCATATTACCACCCTTCGTATGTGGTATGAAAGGGGCATGCTACATACTTAAGATACCAGGTTTGGGGTGCATCATGCGCTGCCTTGCAGGATGGACTGACTGGCAGCGCCTGGGGTGACTGGGCGAATTACACTGCTTCGCCTTTGAGGGCGACCTCGCAGTGAGGCGAAGGGCGTTGTGGGTTTGTCTCAAATTGGGAAATGAGCAACGGACAAGATTATCAGTTGTACACCATCAGGGGGAATACCCAACTCTTCTATGTCCTCTTGCGGAAACAAAGAATTTTGTCAGGAGTTCAAATGGAAACCTAACTTGGTGTGTTTCTTTTGGCTTCCCAAAACGAACCAAAACGGGTTCCTTACAAAAGACACTCTGCTGCCCTCCCTCCCTCCTACTTATCCTCGTGCGAGGACCCCCTGTGCGAAGATGTGGCGTTGCGTGTTTACCGGTTTGGCCCGTTTGGCAGTGGAAGTGGACAGCAGGCCTTTTCAAAGGGCCGGAGTCAAGCTTCAATTGGAAAGAGGGCAGATTGTTGAGTTGCATAGCTCGTTCAGTTGACGGTCAGTCCTCAAGCCACACCTGCCATAAGCCTTCGCTGTCCGCAGCGGTCGCAGGCAAAGTGGCTTGACGATGCAGAAATGGAGGCGGCTGGGCGCATGTTGCATAATCTTGACTCCGATGGGCACAAAGTTGGGGATCCTTCATGTGGAAAGTGCAGGTTTGCGAGTCCGGGGTTGATCCAGGGTTGACATCATGACATGACAAGCGAGTGCGCATTGCTTGCCGTGACTCGGTTTTGCGAATCAGCTGAATGGGCTCCTTCTAGGCTAACCACCAAGCACAACCCCACAAAGCAACCCCCAAGAATGACCGCCCAAAAACAACACCCAAAACAACTAAGAAACAACCCCCCCAAAAGGGTACCCTGAACAAAGAGACACCCGGCAGGTGCTGAAAGAGTTGCATCTGTCGCAGGCCGCTGAGTTTGGCAAGCTGCAGGTCAGACGACCAGACTCGGGTGGAAAATGTGAGCGTTATCTTCTTGGGCGGCGCTGGATTTTTTGAGGTGATATCTCGGTTTGCAGTGACCTATCATTTTTTTGTGTAGTAAGTGCCGTTTTGAGTGCTTGACCTGGGGGCCTCGGAAACTGGAGAGAATCAAGCAAAAGGCCCGCATGCCTTGGCATGACGAAGGTCTCCTGATTCGCTTCACCAAGCGGAATGGTGATTCATGCGTGGGTGCTTTGAGGCTCGGTCTCCGTTTTGGGTTGTTTTTGAGGGAGACAGAAGGAAAACCAACGATTTTGGAGGTTCTGTATGCTTGTGAGGAGCATGTACCTTGTGAGGTCTTCAGCAGCATCCTCGGAACATCTTTCGGCTCAGAGAAGCGGGCTGCTGTGTACAGATTGTAAACTACGCTTGCCTTTGCGCTTCTCCAATTTGTTTAACTTTTTGTAAACGAAACTTGGCCTGAGAGTGAAGTTGGGGAACAGTGTTTCAACATGAAGAAGGGGTGTGTGCCCAATTTTCTCAATGTATATGTGTATGTGTAGAAGCAGTCCATGTAGAGAGTTGCGAGAGTGAACCAGCATTCCTCGGAGCATGTCGAGTTCGCTGGTGTTTTGCTAGCTTGCAAAGTTCACGTTACTTTGCTGAGGATGGCCTCCTCATCCCGAGCCACTGTTGCCGCCGCTGCAGGCGCTCTGCTGATGGCAGGGTTTTGCTGATACAGATGGAGGCCAATGTTGGCCCTGGCTTTATCAACCTGGCCCACCAAAAGTGAAGGTTGGACTCTAAATGCATGGCACCCTTTCTATGAATATGCCTGGGTTTTATTCATCTTGGCGGACACTGGTGTCTTGCCACCGGCAGAGCCCGAGTAGTTCGACCTGCCAGCCCAGTCACATTTGCCTTTTTGATCTGCGAGAGGCATGGTTGCGGAAAATCGGACTGTCCATGAGACTGAGGGAGTTCTCTTTGAATTTGTACAAGAGTCATTGTCGGATTGGAATTCCACTTTGGTATCATAAGCGGCAACTATTTTCCAGGACAACCATGTGCTAATTTCGCCACTCGCCCAACACAAGTTTTGGGGTGAGAGGTCTTACCCTTCTGGGCGGAGCCGCGTTTGTGTCTGCACCTACTGGACGTGCCGGAAACCTGCGAGCAGCGATCCCAGACGGGGTGGCAAAAGCAACTGTGGGAGCACCCTCAAGAATTGCTGGCAGACATTCATAAACCCCATGTACATGCTGTCCACCAAAAGGGTGCGAAATGGGCCAAATGGCACTTCCCCTTCAGGCCCCTTTTAAAGCGGGTGTGATCTTTATGAGGGTTGCAACACATCCCAACCTGGTGAGGTTGGTTCAAAAGTAGGGCGCCTTTCTGGGCGTATTGTGGGCCTTGTCAAATGGGGTCAACATGGGATTGCCATAGTGACAGTCCACTCTCTGTTTCCGTGGAAGAATTGACAGTGAGTGGAAGAGATCTATTTTTGCTACTCTTGTGTTGATTGACTTAGTGTTTGCTGAGTTTGATCGATCTTCGCAGCTGCTTTGATTTGCAGCCTTGACGTCCACAAGTGAAAACCATTTGCATTTGCTTTCGACGTTTCGGCTTTGGACTGCGCTTTTCCCAGTCAATGAGCAAAATCTGAGGCAACCGTCTCCGCAGCAACTCCAGCCTCTGCTCCTGTGTCCGGACCGGAGGCACCATGCAACGATAGCACAGGTTGAGCGTTGCGCCTTATGCGAAGAGACTTGGTTTTGCCACTTGTAGCTCAAGACTGCCGCGCTTAGTTTTTCGCTGCTTCAGCCAGACACAAGGCTCCTGTTTTGTGGCGATAACATGTGATCCTCCTTCAAGTGGGGCAATGTTTAACAGGAAAAACGGGGAAGTCTGCGATGTGAGAAGACTTGAGGGGCAACTGATGAGGCGAGCAGCGTCGCCAGTATGGCGGTTGCCAGCGCAGCTGTTGCCACCTGTTTTGCCAGCCGCAAGGCGCTGCGCTCAGAGACGTTGGCAGTGACTTCTCAGTTTCCGTTTTCGGTGCATGTTTCGTCGCAATAGCATTTTTTCAGCTTGGCATTCAATGACTACAAGCTTTCGTTTTCTGGACGCTTGGCAGTGAGGAAGACCGCCATATGAAGGACTCGGTTGCAGCTCGAAACAATGGAGAAGCCATATTTTCCATAGGCACAGACTTGTTGTGCACCATTCTCGTTTCATGCTGTGATGTGCAGATATGTTTTTGGTTCTTGCGCTACGTTTGGCCAAATGTGGGTCATCACTGAAACATACACTTGCAAAAACCAAATCTGCGAATGTGTACCTGAGTGGGATGTCACGCCATGCCATGCCATGCCATGTCATGTTATGTCATGTCATGCAGTATGAATGATTGCATGTTTTCTTTTCACCGGCTGGCTGTGGCCTTTGTTGACTGGTTGGTAGCAGTTGGCTTACTCGATTGTGTACTAGTGCCCAGCCATCCGCATTATGACCTGTTTCATTGCCAATATCAAGCACAGGGCAGCATGTGCAATGTGAAAGGTTTACACTTCAGAGAAGGCACTGATGAGCGATTACTTTGGAATGACAAGCCACGTAGAAAATGGGAGCGTCCAAGGCGGCTGCAAATGCTAAGCATCAGCTGGTGCGCGTCTTAGATCAGCCGGGAGAAAGAACATCTAATCTAACTGGTGAGACTGACAGATGCGATTCAGGTGGCCTTGAGTGCCTTTGAGAACGAGCTCGGTGTCCAGGTAGGTGCCAGCGAGATTTTGAGCAATCAAGCAGTTTTCAGTATTGGCATGTTTGAAGGTTATTGAAGACTGACTAGTAGTGGATGGGGAATGGTGACTCTTGCATCCTCAACTTTCAAAATGTGTTAGATGCGAGGATAACAGGCAGGGCAACCATGTTGTGGCAGGCGCCAGTTGGATTTTGGGATCCCGCTGGCTTTACGGCCGATGGCAGCACGGAGAACTTTGCGCGCAGGCGCCAGACGGAGTTGAAGCATGGCCGAATTTCCATGCTGGCTACTTGGTCAACATGCGGGAACATCTTTGTTTTTTCTCTCTTGTCAACATGGTCAGCATTGGAACTTAGTTTTTGTATACCTCTATATCCTGGGTTTGAGTTTGAACAGTGACTAAGGCTACAATGGGATATATTACCCCTGAGATCACCGGAAAATTCCCGGGCTATTTGAGCCCTTCCGCTGGTCTGAAGTTCGCCGACGTGCCCAACGGCCTGGCTGCGATTTCGAAAGTGCCTGCTGCTGGGTGGGGTCAGATCTTGGCTTACATGGCCTTCTGCGAGGTGTCCCAGGACCAGTCGGCGGGAACGCCTGCTGCAGCAGGCGACTTCGGATTCAAGGTGCTGACTGCCTCTGACCCGGAGGCGAAGAAGACCAAGCTAGCGGCCGAGTTGGCCAACGGAAGACTTGCGATGATGGCCATCATCGGCATGTTTTTCCAGGCTTGGTGAGTGATGACAGAAAGTTGGAGAGACTTGCGAAGTCTGACATGTGGTAAACATGTTTACACGCAAGCCACTGTGCGTTTGGCATTGCCTGTTTCGCATTGGCACATGTACCATTGTGTTTAGCAACAACAACAGCATTCACACTGGTGCAGACTGGTCTTTGTGGGTTTGTGTTTGTTTTGCTGTTCTTTGCTTTGTTATGTATTGTTTCGGTTTGTTCGTATGTATGTTGTATGTATGTATGTAATGTAATGTAATGTAATGTAATGTAACGTAACGTAACGTAACGTAACGTAACGTAACGTAACGTAACGTAACTTAACGTAACGTAAGGTAATGTAACGTAAGGTAATGTAATGTAATGTAATGTAATGTAATGTAATGTAATGTAATGCAATGCAATGCAATGCAATGTAATGTAATGTAATGTAATGTAATGTAATGTAATGTAATGTAATGTAATGTATGTATGTATGTATGTATGCATGTATGTATGTATGTATGCTTGTTTTGTTTGTTTGTTTGTTTGTTTGTTTGTTTGTTTGTTTGTTTGTTTGTTTGTTTGTTTGTTTGTTGTGTGGTTAGTTGGTTAGTTGGCTAGTTGGTTGGTTAGTTAGTTAGTTAGTTAGTTAGTTAGTTAGTTAGTCTGTTTGTCTGTTTGTTTGTGACTATGTGCCGGCATGATGACTATGTGCCTCCGGAGGGGCGTGCCGGGAAGCTGCAATTATAGTTACCGAGGTTGACATGACTTGCAGACTAAACATAGTCTCTTCTAGGGTGCACTGGCTGTTTCGCGGGGTGACCAGTGCATGCAGTCAGGACAAAAATCATCCCCGAGCGATGCAGCGACTTGTGTTTAAAACAACTGCTTTTTGCAACTTTGAATGTGCAATCATTGAGGCTTGATCTGATTGCACATAGGCTGAAGCTCCAGGAGCTGATCCGCGCCCTCAGGTCTTCGAAAGTTCATATCTGCTGTCTTCAAGAGATGCGCAGTGCCAGTGGTTCAACAGAAGTTTTGTTTTTTTACGTTGAGGAATTTTGCTTCATTGTCCATGGACGGGCGGCCGTTGTTTTAATCGACTCATTGGCGTGACTTTGGGAGAAACATGGTCTGCAGTATCTGGTTCGCCCCAATGGCTCTTCAGATCGGATCTTGTCAGTTGTTTAATTTTTTCGAGATCTGCAATGATCAATTACCGCTGTATATACTCCTTCTTCACAATATGTTGGTGGCAAACGAGCTCATTAAACACAATGTTTACTGCAACACCGAGTGCTGCGCGACCAGGGCTGTGTCCAGCTGTGGGGTGGCGACTTCAATGGACAGATTGCCAAGGGCGATGGGCCTTCTCCACAGTGTAGTCCCATGGACTTGCACGCGCACCCACAACTGCCGGCGGCAAGGCGTTGTGTGAATGGTTGACTTGAACGAATTTAGCCGTAGGCGACACGTGTCAAGCTGTTCCGTGTCGGGGTACCTGGTTGCACCCTCACACCCAGGCATGGTACGAGCTGGATTATTTGCTGGTC